CCCTGATTTTTTATAATTTCTCAAATTCCAATTTAAAAAAAAAAATTAATTTCCATCTACAGTAAAAAAAATAAAATGGAATCATTGTATTAAAGAGGTATGTATCATAGATACGGTTTGTGTTATATATAGAAAATATAGATTAGGGTAATGTGTTGGCGGCTCATTTGTAACTTAGGCCCTGTTTGATTGTGGTAGAATTCCATGGAAAATGAAAAAGTAATTCAATTTCCACCCAAAAATAGTGTTTGATGTCCACATTTTTCCATGCCAAAGGTGGAAAAGATTCTCTCCTCACGTGCCTATTTCTAGGTGTGAGGAGAAAAGATTTTCCCACCTTTTAGGTGGGAAAATCGAATTCTGACTTTTACTGGAATTTTTTTTTGGACAATGAAAATAAATTTAATGACCAATTGTAAAAAAAAAAATTCACTTTAATGTACACTTTTAATGTAAAACAACGTCAAACGAACACTAAACTTTGATAGAAAAATATTATTTACTTGTAAATATATATTTTTTTTCTTACTTTTTGGTAATGAAAACAAATTTTATAATCAATTGTAAAAAAAATTATCACTTTAATGGATAATTTTCATATAAAACAAAGTTGAACGAACACAAAATTTAAAAAATTTTCAGGTGAAAAATTATACCAATCAAACACACTTAATTAACAATTCACTGGAAAAGGATATTCTAGGCAACTACTTTCTCTATAATTCATTTTCTTTCCACCTATTTTCCACAATTGCAATCAAACAGACATTTATAGTAAGATGTAACAAGATTTAGTATAAAAATGGAACATATAATCTCGTTTGATTTTTATTATTGTAGAATGAGAATGAAAAATATAGTCGTTATTGAACCTGACACAAGAGATAGAAATTCAAAATTGATGACTTGATGTGATGAATAACGGTTATATTTTTCATTTTTAAAGATAAAAAATGAGAAACAAACGAGAGTTGCATTCAAATAGCTTTAAACTCAAATTTTAGAATTGGGTAACAATGTTTGGAAACAAGATGAGACGTCAAACTATATAACAAGTAGTCATAACACATTGGATAATTGCGCATATATCTTTCTATATATAAAAAGTGCATATTTAACGGAATTTGTTGGTTTAACGGAAAAACTAACGGAATTTGTTGTTTTAACGGATTATGTAACGGAATTTCTTGTTTTAAACAGGCAGCTGCACCTTCTTTCAGTGTTTTTATCATAACTTTGTATTCAGA